GTAAAAGATGCTGTCTTTCTGGCTACTTGGGCGTTTATCACCTTGATTGCAGTCGCTGCTGGAAGCCCTTATCAGATCTACAACTACACCTGGATGATCCTCAACTGAGCCAGTGATGCTGCCAAGGCTTCACAACTATTGCGACCACCCCCTCCTATTCCCCCCTGATAGTTGACTTATGTGCTTTAGCCTTCGGGGCCTCTCCAGACTAGGGAACCCCTGACCATTTTGCCCCCCAGGAGCTCCCTCTTCCGCTGACCTTATTCTATCCTTAATTAACCCTACTGTTCAGGCCCCTCATCAAGCCAGCCACTCCCTTATAGAGGACCGTTGGGTCTGCTATTCTTCCAACCCTTCCCTTTATCAAGGAATTGCAGGCATTTAATTCCTACCTTGCCTGTTCTACTGGATTGACTACTTAAATTGTCACCTCTACCTTTTCAAAAACTAACCAGATCCATTAAGTCTCAGATTGACGCCATCCTCAAAAAACTGGTTTTGATCCACTACCATTGCCTAGCAGCATTAGATTCTGAGCTGCCTGACGACTATAAAAAAAACCCCACAGTCCTAAAGGACTGGAATTCTCGGGCCTTAAAATCCATGGTAAATGCTTCTGCTTTAGCCTTACAGTCCCTTTACAATTTTGGAAATACAAAGGGATGCATTAGTGCAAATTGTAACAGTCCATGAACTAGAAATTGATTATCAATTCTTCCTGAAAATTGAGCAAAGGCAATCGCCCATAATCATTGTTCTGAAACCATCAATTAAACTGTTGCTTAGAGTAGGAGACATGTATCATACTTAGTTTTCTCCTAAAATACTTCCTAAAATCTATATGGCATTTCTGTACCATGTACGCTAATGTTTTAAAATAAGGGTTTAAAATATTTAGGCTGGTAAGACGGGTAGGCGCAACCATAGCTAATTATAGAACTTGTCTACCTTTCTAGTTAGCTGTTTGGGTTTATCTGGATCATTATCTCCTTATAGAATTTTACTTAAAGGATTTAAATCATCATTAGAGGTCTCCCCCCAAAAAAGTACTTAACCAATGAATATTTTATAACAATTTCTAAAAAACTCATTTAAAGATTTTTAAAGTATCTTTTCCAATTGCTATTAACTCCAACGTCTCTCTCCCTATTTTTTTAACATTTGCTTGTATGTGTCTGTGGTTGTACCATATACCATGGTACATTTGTACAATCAGAGAACAACTTGTGGAAGCTGGTTCTCTCCTTCCACCATTTGGGTCTCTGAGATCAAAGCCCAGGTGCTAAGTACTCATCTCATCACCGGGGAGCATGTTAATTTCAACAACAATACTGGAATGATTTGATGGCTGGTGCAAAAATATGAGCCCCAATGCTTACCTGATACATGCACAAAAACTAACTCAAAATTAAACATAGGCCTAAATGTAAGTTACATCTATAATACTTCTAGAATAAAATACAAGCGAAATTATCATTCACCTAAGGCTTAAGTTTTATTAAATTCAAAGCTATTTGTTACTAAGTAAGGCAAAACATGCCTGTAATTCCAGTACTGGTGAGGCTGGAGGATTCCCAAGTGTGAGGCCAGCCTATCTCTAAAAAAACCAAAAAATGAATAAATTCAACTAATTTGACCCTCACGTTGAAATATTCAAGGCTGTCTTCCTACGAGGAGTGTTCACAGATGTCGTATTAAAGACGTGTTTCCCGTAGGTGAAACTCCCCAATTGCAATGTCTCCTTTTCAATTTCTGGGTCTCCTTTAAGCACCCAGCCATGACATCATCGCACGGACGCCGCGCAGCCTACCTTGGCAACGCCCGGCTGTCCTTCCGGGCCGCTTCAATTGGCTGGCTGGTTCCGAGATGCCCCGCCCCCTTCCCCCAGCAGTCTGCCCCGGCGCCGGCCATCAATCAGGCCAGTTGGCAGCTGTGATTGGCCACGGGGTCGGGTTCGCACTGGGGGAGGGGCGCGGCTCCCTTATAAGAGTCGCG